ATTCTCCCTCTCTCTTTTTAATATTTCTCACCAGGGTATGGGAATATTGCTCCAAGCACTGAAGGAGGCAAAATCTTTTGTATTTTATATGCCATCTTTGGAATTCCACTCTTTGGTTTCTTATTGGCTGGAATTGGAGACCAACTTGGAACCATCTTTGGGAAAAGCATTGCAAGAGTGGAGAAGGTCTTTCGAGTGAGTACTGCATCTATTTAAACCTAACCAGTGTGATCCAATTGGCTTTAGCGTGATGGGACCCAGAAGGAATTATCAAAGGTGTCATATCAGGTATGCTTCCAATGGAATAGTTTAATGTCCTGATGGTATTTTTTGTTTTGGCCGATGGAAGTTATAGGTACTCTGCCTAAACTCCCTTCTCTTGAGTAGCTTCCTACTTTGGAGTGGTATTTCTGGAATCTCAACTCAAGAGGGTAAAGTATGGATTTTCCAACCCATATTTTCTGAAGAGGTGAAGTATACTAAGTTTCTACTTGAAGGTGGAAGATGGGTTCCTTAGTGCATTTATAATAAAGTAGAGAATTGTAAATCCATCCATTTTGCTGTTGGAACTCCTTCATCCCGTTTTATTTCCAAGCACAATGTCTTCAGACTAATCCTGGCATCTAGATCTGTCTTACAGAAGACTATCTTCTCACAGTTCTGTGCTTTTCACCTGTCTTTTCACGGCTTCGTGTTCCCTCCTCTCCCACTGCTGAGTGCTCACTCAATTATAGTACACAAATATACTAATTTATGCTAAGGTGTTGATGATTGCTATTGGCTTAGTGGTTTTTTCCTCTTGGGAACACTTTCCTTTAAACAATAGACAAAAACCTCAACTCATATTTGTTTACTAAAGATGGCTTTTCTGGCATCAGTGACAGGCATGTGGAGTAGATGTGATTGGACTGGGGTTCCCAATACCCTTTAACTCACACCCATTCATATGATTTAGTAGAATACTTGTTTTTCTCAAGTGTAAAGTCATTTCTGTCCTTTTCTTCTCATTACTGACCCAATTCTCTAGTGTTTCAAATCTTCTTCAGGGGATTCTTTCTTATGACGACTTAATATTTTGAAATGACATTTGGAGATCTTTTCCAGAATCTAGCAATGATGAGCAAAGATAGAACAGTAATAAGCTCTAAAGTTGCACTTTTTTTCTCTGTGAGACAAGAACTCTTAAACTTTGAGTCTAAGGCTGTCTGTCTCTGATATCATGGCGTATACTTATCTTTAGAGGAAGAGAGCAAAAAGCAAAACAAAAACAAAAAAGAAAACCAGCCCTGTTGCCATTCTGAGTCATAGCGATCCCATGGGGTTTTTTTTGGCTGTAATCTTTACAGAAGCAGATCACCAGGTCTCTCTTCTGTGGGGCTGCTGGGTGGGTTTGAACCACCAAAGAGATCCCTAATTGAAGTATTTCAGAGGTTTTGTTTGAGTGGTAGGACTAAGGTGCTACAGCTGGGTTGGAGCCACCACTTCTAAGCTCAGTGACCCTGGCTTTGCTGCCTCAGTTTATTCATCAGAAAAAGGGGATGGAATTTGAATCTACTTTATAAGTTTTTGATGATGAGTAAATGAAATAATCTGTGAAAAAGGGGTTGGCACAGGGTAAGGCACCCAGAGTTGAGAGTTGCTACGTGCCTGTCTCCCAAGAAAAGCACCGCTTGGCAGGCTTGACACCCATTTAGGTTTCATCTGAGTGGCTTGGTGGCATGTGACTTTTTCTAGAAAGTCTGACAACCTTTGCTCCATAAGTGCTGGCTGGCCAGCAGGTCTCATTAGAGCACGTACCTGGGCCCCTCAGTGGTCACCATGGAGACCGTCGGTGCTCAGTGCTCTGCTTCTCAGATGTTCACATCTCCCTCAACCAGACATGGCAACCTTGACTCCAAAAACTGTTTTGTACTTCTTGGAGGTGTCCTCGTAGCCCTCCAAGTTAGAGAAAGGCGATTCTGGCATATTGAACACTCAGAGCAGGATTCAAATGGAGAAACGACTGATCTGGAATTGTTTATTTTTATGTAGTTTCTCTAGATCTGTTTCCGTGTGTTTAGAAAGAAAGGATTGCACTGAAAGCCTGTGAAATCCCCTTTAGGTTGTCGTTGTTGTTAGGTGCTGTCGGGTCGGTTCCGACTCCTGGCGATCCTAGGTAGTACAGAACGAAACACTGCCCAGTCCTGAGCCATGCTCACAGTCGTTATGCTTGAGGCCATTGTTGCAGCCACTGTGTCAGTCCATCTCGTTGAGAGTCTTCCTCTTTTTCGCTGACCCTCTACCTTACCAAGCATGCTGTCTCTCTCCAGGGACTGATCCCTCCTGATGACATGTCCAAAGTATGTAAGATGTAGTCTCGCCATCTTTGCTTCTAAGGAGCATTCTGGCTGTACTTCTTCCAAGACAGATTTGTTCGTTCTTTTGGCAGTCTGTGGTATATTCAATATTCTTCACCAACACTGCAATTCAAAGGTGTCAGTGCTTCTTCGGTCTTCCCTATTCATTGTCCGGCCTTTGCATGCATATGATGTGATTAAAAATACCATGGCTTGGGTCAGGTGCACCTTAGTCTTCAAGGTGACGTCTTTGCTCTTCAACCCTTTAAAGAGGCCTTTTGCAGCAGATTTGTCCAGTGCAATGCCTCTTTTGATTTCTCGATTGCTGCTTCCATGGATGGTGATTGTGGATCCAAGTAAATTGAAATCCTTGACAATCTCAATCTTTTCTCCATTTATCATGATGTTGCTTATTGGTCCAGTTGTGAGGATTTTTGTTTTCTTTATGTTGAGGTGTAATCCATATTGAAGGCTGTAGTCTTTGATCTTCATCAGTAAGTGCTGCAAGTCCTGTTCACTTTCAGCAAGCACCCCTTTAGGTAAACATCTTTAATTACTGTATTCTAAATGAGCGAAGAGGTCCCAATCATTTTGACGATGTCTGCTATCAAATCTGGGAACAAATCTCCCCTGATGTATTTTAGACTAAAGGTAGAGAGTCCCATTGTCCTTCCTCTTGAAGCTGCCTCTCAAATGGATCAATCAATTGGCTCTGAGACAGAGCCTTAAAATCTCACATTTCATTTTTATGCTGAATTACCCACTCTGTTCCCTTAACACCATCAAAGACTGGGAGTCCTTCAGGAAGGCAAGATATTATCGAATTGGCAGCACACAATGTGTTCATTTGCAGAATGCTGGAAGGTGCTATTGGATGGCGTGACTGAGTTCCAGGAGTAATATAAGTGCACTTCGGGAATATGTATGCAACTAAGCTCATGGCAGTTTGCTTGCTGCATGTAAAGTTTTGGTAGAAAATCTCAAAGCTCTTTGCGATTCATTCAAATTACATCTAAGGGGCCGATTACTCTTCAGTGATTATTTGAGAATTGGATATTGCATATGCCAACACAAGCTTAAGATTGTGAATTTTTAGTCTTCATGGGGAAGAATCATTTTCTTCCTTTCTCCTGCTCAGTTGTTGTTATAAGCCTTTTGCCTCATCTGTTATGCTTTCTCTCAGCCTTTGGGAGGGGAGGATTTATGGGGAACAGTGGTGGTTTTGTGGTAGAATTCTCGCCTTCCATGAGGGAGACCTAGGTTTGGTTCCTGGCTAATGTACCTCAAGCACAGCCATCCCTCGTCTCTCAGTGGAGGCTTGTGTGTTGCTATGAAGTTGAAGAGGTTTCAGTGGAGCTTTCAGACTAAAACAGACTAGGAAGAATGAGCAGGTGCTCTGGGTTGAAAAATTAGCCAATAAAAACCCTACAGATCACAACGGTCCGATCCCGGATCCCCTTGTGCATGGGGTCACTATGAACTCAATGGCAGTTAATAACTACAACAATAACAAAAATACAAGATAAAGTCGGCTTTCCAGATACTAGTCACCTGAGGCAACCCTTGTTCGCATCCTTCTAACACATCCCAGGTCCTGAGCCTCATTTTAAGAATTTCTGGGGGGTGCTGTATTAGTTAGGAATGCCTTTGACTGTAGAGTGATACAAAGCCTGACGGTCGGGGCTTTTATGGGATGAATAAATAAAAACTCTTTCTTCTCCTACGAATTGAGAAATAGACATGGGGTCAGATGGAGACCAAAATGTCAGTTTTATTGCTGATAAGTTGATTGGAGAATGTGGCTTTAGCTCTGAGGCCAGAAAAGCTTACTGACCACTTCATCCCTGAATTAGAAGGACTTCACCACTGTGGTGGCATAGTGGTTAAGAGTTTGGCTGCTAACCAACAGGTCAGTAGTTCAAATCCAGCAGGCACTCCCTGGAAACCCTTTGGGTCAGTTCTACTCTGTCCTATAGAGTTGCTATGAGTCGGTATCAACTCGATGGCAATGGGTTTGGGTTTTGGTCACCACTATATCAGATTTCTATGGCTGTGTAACAAATTATTATAAATGTAGAAGCATAAAACAATACCTATTTATCATCTGACAGTCCTGTAGGTCAGAAGTCTGCATGGGCTTGGCTGGGTACTGTGCTTAGGAGATCTTAAGTCTGAAATCAAAGTGTCAGTTAGGCAGGGCTCTGGATCTGGGGAAGAATCTGATTCCTAGCTCACTCAGATTTTGGTAGAAAATAGTACCTTGTGGTTGTAGGACTGAGGTCCCTGTTTACTTACTGACTGTCATTGGGGGATCATTCTCAGTTTCTAGCAGCCACCTGCATTCCTTGGCACATGGCCCCTCCATCTTCAAAGCCAGCAATGGTGCATCTAATAATTCTCATGCTTTGAATCTCTCTAACTTTCCCTCTGTCCCTTCTGCCACCAGCTGGAGAAAGCTCTCTGCTTTTGAGGGCTTATGTGATGAGATCAGGCCCACCTGGATACTCCCCCTATCTTATGTCAACTGTTCTATATAGCATAGCATAGTCATAGGAGTAGGGGGTAACATCTTTAGGGGACCATTTTAGAAATGCTGTGTCCCACACCCACTCGGTCATAGGAAGCCAGACCTCCTCCATAAAGGCTGAGCCTGCCCCACTACCCTTGCTACTTTGTGGAGGGCAAAGCAGAGGGCACCTCTCTGGAGGCAGATGGCCTCCAACTGGGAGAAGAAAGGGGCTGAGCTGAACTCACTCCATCCTTTGTGCGGAATTCACCTGGCAAGTCACTTGTCCTGGATGAGTGATGGGGAAAGAGGTCCAGAGTGCTACTCTAGCCAAAGTGCTGCTACATGGAACA